TGGCCTGGGCACACCTGCTTTTAGGTAACTGTTGACACAGTCTGCCTACCTGGGGCAGGTTCAGCTGGCACTAATCATTTTCTTATTTTCTTACAGCAAATGACCTGCTTGGCTTTGGAACACTGGTCAGCACATCCAACACCTACGATGGGTCCGGGGTGGTGACCGTGGACACGGACCAGCCACTCCTCTGGACCATGGCCGTCAGACTCTAGGTCCCCGGCACCGCACACATCTCATCCTACCTCAGCACCACTGTGGCTGCCCAGCAGGAACCCCCTTAATGAGAGCCGCTAGTCATATTACATAACCCAGGGAACGTTATAAAGGACAGGTCTAGATTTCACAGGGGCAGGGGCACATTCATCATCGGCTAAGACAGGAACAAAGCTCTGTTATTTTCCATACGAAACTAATGTGGATCATTCCAGCATAAAAGTCAATGCTCATTGTTCTTCATTCCATTTGTCAAAACATTGTTTTAATTTTGAAGCCGAGAAACCCTGCTGAAGCTCCTCCTGGCGTCTAGCCCGTCAGCCTCTTCCTGCTCGCCCGTCACATGCAACAAGGCTACTTCTGAGTGTCCTCCAACGCTGGACTCTGCTACAGCATCCATCGGCTTTACTAAGAGGAGAGAAATCCCTCCCAGGCTGGGGGGTAGAACTGCACCCCTTCACTCTGGCCTATGGCAGTCTTGGGCGTTGTCTTTTAAATAAGTGAAGAATCATTGGCTGAGCACTCCATTTGAGGCCAGGTGGAGAGAGAAAGGACAGGAAAGATGGCAGTTGATGAAGTGTGCTCGGCTGACAAGAGTGCCCGCAGCTTTAGGGCAGCGACAGAGCAACCCCGCCCCCGTCAGAGTTAGAACCAGGCTGGAAAACTGTGCCGAGGACACTCAGGCATAGAGATGGACTGTTTCTGGCACACCTCCCGCAAACATAGGGGTCCACACACCACAGGGCACTCACGTCGGCGGCAAATGGGTGGGGTCTCCGGGGATAGCGGGATGCGGTGTAGTAGCAGAGGGGCTTCCCAGTGGCCGTGCCTCAGGCCCCGCTCTGACCAGAGCCCCGACCCCGGCTGACCTGTGAACCAGAAGGGGCCGGACGGACTGCACCTGGGTTCCTTCCCGGCCGGTTCCTGAGCACCGCGCTGAAGGCAGATGACGCGCGCGGCTCCCGGCCTCCAGGTGGGAAATGGCACGCCGGCCGCACCCGTGGATTTATGAGAGCGAGACCCTCACCATCCCACCGACTAAACGCAAGCTACCACACGCACAGCGGCGTGGGGTACCCCCAGGCTCCACGTGGCCGGAAGGACAGGAGGGGCCAGCGGCTGCTCAGGACCCTGGTTTTGGGGGACGGTGGTGGCTCACGATGAGAACGATGGGGCTCCCATGGGCTGGCCTGCCATTCCCAACAGTTCACCATCACAGAGAGTTTTTAATAGATTATTTTATGCAAAGACATGAGATTGACATCTGAATGTGAAATAAAAATATTTACCTATCCACGTGCAAGTCTGCGGTGAGTTCTTAAGGCAACACCCCATGCTCCCTGCTGTCTTCCCTCCGACCCGGCTGCCGTCCGCAGTGTTCTGACGGCAGACCCGCGAGCGGAGCCCTTCCCCGGACCCCTTCCCCGGACCCCCCGCGCCAGGCGCGCCTCGGGAGCCTCTGGGCCGCTTTCCCATCACACCTTCTTACCTTGTAGGCTTTGGAAGAGAAGACAGATTGCCTGCAAAGACGTGTACGTGGTGGAGAGGGTGGGCCGATAGGGGGACAAGAAGCTGGCAGAGGAGGGGCCCAGGGGTTAGAGGAGTGGGCGGTGCCCGGGCGGCCGGGAGCGAAGGCTGCAGGCAGAGGGGGCGACGCATGGAGCGAAGTGTCAGGCTCGGTGGGCATGGGGGGGTGCAGAGGGAGGGGCTGGGCTCAGTGGGAATGGGGGTTGCCGAGGGGGATCAGGGTCAGTGGGCATGGGGGCGCAGGAGGGTCAGACTCGGCATGGGGAGGTGCAGAGGGGGGTAGGGCTCAGTGGTGATGGGGGGCGCGGAGGAAGGGGTGGGGCTGCAGGGGGGTGGTGCCCTGCTGCGCCTTCTCAGCACAAACGCAGAGCTGTTCCTTCTATACCTACCCCCATTCACCACTGGGGCAAGTCAAGCATCTCTCTCGGGCCGAGCGCCTCCAACAGCAAACCCCGCCCGCGACCTCCAGACCCTGCCCCAAAGCCTATGTGCACCCAAAGAGACTGAAGGCACCAATGCCACAGACCAACCCATCTTTTCAAACTTATCTTCACATTCTCTTTACTAACACACAAGTAGTTACTCCACAAATACTTGTAGAAGGAAGACGCTTTCTATGCTACATGAAGACACTCTTCACCCTCCTGTCCCTTAAACGGATTCTCGTGCCTTGTCCCACCACAAGCTGTTGGCCAACCCCAATAATTTTCAGTATCATTGGCTATGAAATTCCAAAAATAATAACCCAGAAAATAATGAGCCTTTCAACTATTATAGCCACGGGACCAAATACATGAAGGACACAAACTAAGGCATTTCTTAGAATAATGTAGAGGTGTTGCTTTTTCGGGCTATAGGAACACTCAAGTGTCGGTCGATTCTAATCGCTCCTACATGAATTTCGTTAATTTACGAAATGCCACTGACTCCCCCTTTAGTTCGCTACTCATGACAAAATTTCCCTCTTTTATTTGCACTCCTTAAAATTCCGGGAAGCCTATGTGACTAACAAGATAGGAGAAACGGTGCAGAAAGTTGTTGGGACAGCTTTTTGTCTGTGAATTTATTGGGCATATATTAAAGCTGACCTTTCAGTCCAAGTTTGTGTTCGATTCCACTGCGAGGAGTTGGGCTACGCGGTCAGTTTGGATACTGGTATGCCAGTGGCATTGAACGATGAGTTTCACAAGGAAAAAATCACAGATTAAATCACTGAGAGGCCAAGATATTCTTTTTAAGGCGAAATGGAGATAGCTAACCAAAAACAGTTTGGAAAGCGAGTTTTTCAGGAAGAAAAATTTGTCCTAAATTTTAACAGATGGAAACAGCAATCATTTTCTCTTATCTCTAGATTAGATAACGCTAGTAATTGTGTATCTGTAAATACATAAATGATGTTAGTCACATCGATGCTGTTGCTATTCATTCGTTATCTTCCGGAATGAACAGCTTTCCACAAATTGCTCGAAGGCTTAACCTTTCTCTCGGGTAGAGATGTGATTTATAGGAACTGAAGCTCCATAGCACTGAAATCAGGTAAATAATGTCTGAGCTCAAGGGGACAGGATAAATGGGTTCACTACAAAGAAGAGGTAAAGAAGTTTCCAATTATTCACATTCTAGAAGCCTCAAAAGTTCTATATAGCAGACCCCTATGTTGACTTTACAGGGAGGCATACATTTCATCTGAACATAAAAAAGGAATCTTCTAAAACTTTGCCATCCAACAAGCACAGAATGGACTCTCTCTAAGAGATGGTAGGTGCCTGTCATGGATTGAATTGTGTCCCCCAAAAAATGTGCGTAGCAACTTGGCTGGGTCATGATTCCCAGTATTGTATGATTGTGTAATCTGATGTGATTTCCTTATGTATTGTAAACTCTATCACTATGATGAGGTTATATGTGATCTCCTTATGTGTTGTAAATTCTATCACTGTGATGAGGTTATACTGATGAGGTTGACAAGATTGGATAGTGTCTTAATCCAATCTCTTGAGATATAAAAGAGAGAAGTGAGCAGAGACACACAGGGACCTCATACCACCAAGCAAGCAGTGCCAGGAGCAGAGCGCATCCTTTGGACCTGAGGTTCCTGTGCAGAGAAGCTCCTAGTACAGGGGAAGATTGATGACGATGAGGACCTTCCTCCAGAGCCGACAGAGAGAAATCCTTCCCCTGGAGCTGATGCCCTGAATTTGGACTTGAATCCTACTAGACTGAGAAAATAAATTTCTCTTTGTTAAAGCCATCCACTTGTGGTATTCCTGTTAGAGTAGCACCAGATGAGTAAGATGGTACCCAACACTAGAAGTGCTGGAATAAATGCTGGACAAATATTTGTGGGGGTCTGGCCTCGAAAGTCCCTGAGTGATGCAGTTTATGCTTAACTACCAATCTAAAGGTTGGCAGTTTACACCCACCCACCAGCTACACAGAAGAAAGACCTGGCAATCTGCTTCCATAAAGATTACAGCTTAGAAAACCCTATGGATCTCCGTTCTACTCTGTAACACATGGGCTCTCCATGAGTCGGAATCAACTCAGTGGCAAGTGGTTTTGTTTTGGCCTCTAAATTCATCTCCAATATTCCGTCTGAGTAACCCCTTAGGAAATCAAAGATTTTATACTTACATGAAGTTAGAGGGAAAAGTTGTCAGTTCAAACTCACCCACCGGTGCCTCAGAAGAAAGGCCTGGCTATCTGTTTCTGAAAGGTCAAAGCTATGAAAACCCTATGGAGCAGTTCTACTCTGACATCTAGATGTGTGCTGCTTAGCCAAAATCACCAGAAACAATCCTGATTTTTCACAAGGGTATTCTTACGGCTCATTGAAAATGGACTCATATTGCAGCTGCTGGTCAGTGTTCCAGATTAGACTTAGAGTTGGTGAAGTGTTGTAATTCTAAACGTATGTGTCTGAACTTCCGGGTGCTACTGTAATAGAAATACACCAAATGGGTGGCCTTAAAGAACAGAAATGTACTGCCGCACAGTTCTGGGGGGTGAAAGTCCAATTAGGGTCTCAGCTGTGTCGATTCCTGCTGTGAGTCTCTCTCCTATTTTCTGTTGATGCCCAGCAGTCCTTTTTCCTTTGTTTTCAGACGATCCTCACATGTCGTCTGTCTTCCCCTGTGTGTCTGTGTCGCGTCTGGTTTTTTTATACCTCTGAAGTGATCAGGTTTAGGATCCACTCTATACTGGTGTTATCTCAACTGACTGATTACATTACATCACATTATGGAAAGTGATTACATTACATTACCAGTAAACCAGTTGCCACTGAGTCGATTCTGACACCTGGCAACCCCATGTGTGTCAGAGTAGAACTGATCTACAGAGTTTTCTTGGCTTCGACCTTTCAGAAACAGATAGCCAGACCTTTCTTCTGAGGCACCGGGGTGGGTTAAAACCGTCAACCTTTTAAATAGCAGCTGAGTGCTTAATTATCTGGGCCACCCCGGGACTCCTGTAGTACACGGGATCGCATCAGGGGAGGTGATGACATTATGTCACGTTAGATCACATCATGTCAGGAAAGAGAACTGCTCTACCCAAGCCTAGATGATTTAATCACACGTAACTACTCCATGACAGCAGCTAGACTAGTGTTCGGCCCCACAGCTGGGAACCATAGCCTAGACAAGCCGGCACAAAAAATTAACCGTCACAGCAGGTAAATCAAAAGTTGGACCGAGAAAAGGAAGTAGATGACAGTGAGTTTCCCTGGTTAGACGAGGGTCCACA